AACCACTCATGTATTACAGCTATTATTTTTTTATTTACTTGATAGCCAGAAAAAATTAGTTACCCGATAGCTGAAAAGAAAAAATATACCTGGATAGCCTAATTTTTTCTTCCCCAAGAATCAGATAAAACAATTGCACTATCAAAACAGTTTCACTTTTATGGCTATCTAAAACCATGAAAGTAAAGCCATTATACAAAAAAATGCTACAATTTAACTGGATTTTATTTTATGTTACCTTATTTTGGAAAAAAAAGTATTACGTTTTAAACCTTCGGATAATGTAGTACCAGTTTTGTTACGACTTTGACATTTTAGTTTTTTTTCTGATATTTTGAAAAAAAATTTTGGAAGTTTTTCGGCAGGTTCAAACTGTTTTTCTTTTGCCTGATTCTTTAGAGAAAAAATATAATGCTTTCTTTAGAGCAAGCATTTTCACGAATCAGTTTTTTTGAAACAAAAAAGTTAATAAAGTGGTCTTTTGCAATTCTCCAGCGAACAATTACATTCCAAAAGCTTGTATTGTTCATCTAGATTATACCTTTACAAATTCTAGAATGAACCATAAAAAGCAATTTTCAGTTGAACTAAGATTACATTGTGATAAAAGTTAGATACTGTCTGAAAACAAATTGATATTGAGCCGAAAAAAAATATTGACACTGATAACTCTTCTGAACCTAACGTCTTTACTAAAAGTGTTAGATCTCTAATTTATAGCCGTAAGCGATGCTCAAAAGACTTTGATTCGCTCGAAGCTAAAAAAAATTTGCAAAAAATTGTAACAAAGCTGCTGTGCAGATGTTTCTGCGAAAGAGGCAATTTAATTGCTGCATCGTACATTTTTGGCGCTTGCTTCCAAAGACCTGCTTGAACTATTAAGCTATTACAGCTGTTATTTGTTCATTTACCGGTTAGCCGGGAAAAATAGCTAATCGATAGGTGAAAAGTATTTAATCCCGGATAGTCTAACCCTTTTCCCAGATATCAGATGAAAAATATTGCGCTATCAAAAGAGTTGCACTTTTAGGGCTATCTATCTCCATGAAAACAAAGCCATTACACAAACAAATTGTTTTTATTTTAATGGATTTTTGTTAGCTGATTTTGGATAGAGAGTATTACGTTTTAACCGTTCGGGTAAAGGTAGTACCATTTTTGTCACGAGTTTGACTTTTTGGTCTTTTTTTTACTTAACCAGTAGTTTTTCCGCCTATCTGGAAACGCGGCCCTGCGGGATTGCGCTCTCTCATGATGGAGGAACTGAACGGTGGAAAGTTTTCAACTAATCAAAACACTAGAATTTTTTATTTGCTGAATGTTTTGTGCACTCTACCGAAAAAAGAGCAGAAAATGTTTGATAAGATGCACAGCCCTTTCAGATTCAAAATTTTTCGTGTAAAAATTTTCAAGTTTGTGTAATCAGTATCTAGGAAAAATAATGTTATTCAATGTAAATTTGATCTGGCAATGTTTGAAAATTGATGTATCTGCAATCTGCTTTATAATCCGTCAGTATTAGATTCATTGGCTTGTTGTTCCGACTTTTGATACGAAAGTAACGGAATATTTGTGCTCGGGGTGGGTTTTTTTTTCTTCAGACAAATTTCGATTTTTGAACTAGCCATTTTTGACGGAATTTTCGAGCGAATCAAAGTCTTTCGGCTATCACTGAACAAAACATTCGCTCAAAGCTATAAAGATTTTTTTTCAAAACCTGTAGAAAAGCTGTTAGACAACATTTTCTGCGACAGTGGCTAGCAAATTGCTGTATTGTACACTTTTTTGGCGCCTGCTTCCCAAGTCCCTCTCGAACCAGTCATTTATTACAGCTATTATTTTTTTATTTACTTGATAGCCATAAAAAATTAGTCACCCGATAGCTGAAAAGAAAAAATATACCTAGATAGCCTAATTTTTTCTTCCCCAAACATCAGATAAAACAATTGCACTATCAAAACAGTTTCACTTTTATGGCTATCTAAAACCATGAAAGTAAAGCCATTATACAAAAAAATGCTACGATTTAACTGGATTTTATTTTATGTTACCTTATTTTGGAAAAAAAGTATTACGTTTTAAACCTTCGGATAAATGTAATACCCATTTTGTTACGACTTTGACATTTTAGTTTTTTTTCTGATATTTTGAAACAAAAATGTTGGAAGTTTTTTGGCAAGTTCAAACTGTTTTTTTTTGACTGATTCTTTAAAGAAAAAATATAATGCTTTCTTTAGAGCAAGCATTTTCACGAATCAGTTTTTTTGAAACAAAAAATTTAATAAAGTGGTCTTTTGCAATTCTCCAGCGAACAATTACATTCCAAAAGCTTGTATTGTTCATCTAGATTATACCTTTACAAATTCTAGAATGAATCAAAAAAAGCAATTGTCAGTTGAACTAAGATAACATTGTGAGAAAAGGTAGATACTGTCTGAAAACAAATTGATATTGAGCCGAAAAAAAAATATTGACACTGATAACTCTTCTGAAAAATTAACGTCTTTACTAAGAGTGTTAGATCTCTAATTTATAGCCGTAAGCGATGTTCGAAAGACTTTGATTCGCTCGAAGTTAAAAAAAGTTTGCAAAAAAATGTAACAAAGCTGCTATGCAGATGTTTCTGCGACAGAGGCAATTTAATTGCTGCATCGTACATTTTTGGCGCTTGCTTCCAAAGACCTGCTTGAACTATTAAGCTATTACAGCTGTTATTTGTTCATTTACCGGTTAGCCGGGAAAAATAGCTAATCGATAGGTGAAAAGTATTTAATCCCGGATAGTCTAACCCTTTTCCCAGATATCAGATGAAAAATATTGCGCTATCAAAAGAGTTGCACTTTTAGGGCTATCTATCTCCATGAAAACAAAGCCATTACACAAACAAATTGTTTTTATTTTAATGGATTTTTGTTAGCTGATTTTGGATAGAGAGTATTACGTTTTAACCGTTCGGGTAAAGGTAGTACCATTTTTGTCACGAGTTTGCCTTTTTGGTCTTTTTTTTACTTAACCAGTAGTTTTTCCGCCTATCTGGAAACGCGGCCCTGCGGGATTGCGCTCTCTCATGATGAAGGAACTGAACGGTGGAAAGTTTTCAACTAATCAAAACACTAGAATTTTTTATTTGCTGAATGTTTTGTGCACTCTACCGAAAAAAGAGCAGAAAATGTTTGATAAGATGCACAGCCCTTTCAGATTCAAAATTTTTCGTGTAAAAATTTTCAAGTTTGTTTAAATCAGTATCTAGGAAAAATATTGTTATTCAATGTAAATTTGATCTGGCAATGTTTGAAAATTGATGTATCTGCGATCTACTTTATAATCCGTCAGTATTAGATTCATTGGCTTGTTGTTCCGACTTTTGATACGAAAGTAACGGAATATTTGTACTCGGGGTGGGGTTTTTTTCTTCAGACAAATTTCGACTTTTGAACTGGCCATTTTTGACGGAATTTTTTAATATCATTCGAAAGGTATTGTTGTTTTAATATTGTCATTTTGGCCATTTTGACCAATTTGGGACAATTAACGCGCGATATATTTCGCGCTATTAACGCGTAAGCGGAGATTTAATCCGTCTTATAAATCGTTCCAAATTGGTTGAACGTAGCTTATTTGCCACAATTGATTTGTTACAAGGAGCGAAATGTATCCTTTTGTACTTAATATGGCGTGTGGGGGGATGATTTTCATTCAAAAAATTTCACATTTTAGAAAAAAAAATTTCTTTTGTTTATTTCATTGAGTTTTTAAATGTTATTACTGCTCCATAAACCTTAAAAGGCAGTCGGAACATTCAGGGCTTAGCCCTGATACGAGGAGTCTTGTTTTTTTTTGCAACTTTCAGCTTTTCATAATTTCATGGAGATTTTTGAATATTCAGTTCTGATTGACTGAAAACAGTGGAATTAAAGTTTCCAAATTTTTCTTTCTCACGAAGGCCGCCACCACGAATTGTCGCTGGTTATAAAATTTCCCCTCACGTCTAAATGTAGAGCAAAAATTTTCATGACCAAGTTTTGAACTATAGTATTGGCAATCAACGTTCACCAATTTTTGGCACAATGAAGACCAAAATTCAGTTGTAAAATTATGAAACATCAGCTGCAATCTAATTATTAAATTTGTTTTGATTCGATATCTAAGGCACATGAACAACAAAAAACAATAAATTTGTTGTTGCCATCAAAAGTTGGTACTGGAGATAAAAACTATAATCATCTCAGACCGTAACAACTGATAATTTTATAAAAGTTTTGTTGGAAGTTTTTGGGCAAGTTGGAACTGTTTTTCTTTTGCTTGATTTTTCAAAGGTAAAATCGATTGCTTATAATACCGCGTGCATTTTCACGTACCAGTTTTTTTGAAACAAGAAATTAATAAGTTCTCTCTTACAATTTTCCAGCGCACATTCCCATTCCATATGTTGTAATGTTCATCTAGATTATACATACACAAGTTCTAGACTGGTTCATAAAAAACTAATTGTCAATTTATCTAAGATTACATTGTGAGGGAAGGGAGAGCCTGTCTGAAATTAATTCGAATTTGAGCCGAAAAAATATTAACACCGAATAACTCTTCTGAAACATGAACGTATTATCAAAACGTGTTATTTCTCTATTTCACCTTACTTGAGCAGAGTAGACCAAACAAATCAGTTCTTATAAAAGTGTCAAAAATAGTCCAAAACACGACCCTTTAAGGGTATTATTTTTTCCATTCCTTCTCTTTGAACAAATTAGCTTTGATTTTGACAGATACTGATGTTGATCTTTTTATTCTGGAGTCCTCAAAAGAACCATCAATTATGACTTAAAGAGTAAACTGAGCCACTTTCCTCCCAAATTTTAGGTCATAAGATCACAGTTTGTAATTTCCTGTGCATTATATGGCATTTTTATAATCTTAATTGGATGTTATATATATTGATCACCCGATTAGCAGTTACCTGCAAAGCCTTTTCGGTTTTACTAATCGTTTTGAAATCTTTCGAGTGTGAAGAAGATAAGTTATGATGGAGGCTATAAGCCGCCGCCTCATTAAAACGATTACCTGACATTTGTCACCGATCGTTACTGCATTTTTACAACTTAGCGAACAAGAGTAACAGTAATCTGCGACATTTAACACCGGCTAATCTTTTTAAGAACTCCTCAATTCATGTCGATTAAACTGGAAGCCCAGCGATTTAAAGAGGCAAAAATTTGAGACAAAAATCAATTCTCGTTAATTGTAACTCAATTTTGACGCCGACTTTTGACTGAGCAAAATTCCAAAAAGGGTTGGAAATTTTTCACGGTTGTTGGAATCTATATAACGAATCAAGTAAAAGAAGTTATAATTAGATTGCACTTTGACTCGATTAAACTTCTTCAAGAACTGGTTCTAACAGATTGAAGACAGACACTTCCCAGCCCGATTCTGACCACTCAATTGTTCCCAAGATGACAATTCAGACAATGGTTAGAGAGCTTATTTAATTAGTGAAGATCGGAAAAAATTGCAAATAATCTCAGACTCCTTGCGTTAAGTCTCACTTTCAAATGAAATTCAGTAACTTAGTCGCCATTTTTGAGATGAATGAACACATTTCAACAAAAAGTTCGGTCATTTAGTTTTTTGTTAACAGAGATTCGAAAAAGCGGTTGGAATGATATTGGAGCTGCTGTTTTTCCTCTCAATTTCAGGTAAGATTCCTTATTTTTACAATTTGTCGTGTAGCCATTGGGGCGGGCGGATATGTCTGGCGATGGAAGGGATTGCTTCAATTCAAAGTGATATGAACTATATTAACATATAGCAATTATTCCTAAAATTTCCGATCAAAATGAAAAATGACCTTGAATATTTCTAAGACCAGGGGCTGATTTAGTGGTGGGGGCAGCGTAACGAAAGGGTCTTGCTCGGGTATTATTTGATGATATCCATTTTAGGCTGACCACTCTCAAGAAAGTCGACAAAATTTTCGATTAAAATACGCCCCTCGAGAAAACTCTAGATCCGCCCCCTGTTTATGACGAACATGAAAAAGTTCCTTCGTGAAAACCGTGTATGGCAAAAAATGAAACGTAGTTGTAAAATACTCAACCACTAACTGCCAAAAATCTCTGATAAGCATAAATCTTAAAACAGTTGTCTCGACACTTAAAGCAGTTAGGAATTGGCTTTGGGGGCAGAAAATTTCCATGTCTGAATGGTGTTGAAATTTTCACGGGATTCCAACCACGGCTCAATTAGAAGTTTTTCAGAAAGAAATGTATGTCGGAAAACTAAAATTGAGTTGTTGATGTTTACATGTTAAACGAAAAAAAAAGTAAATTTTGAAATTAAGTGTGATAATCCTGCGCGTTATCTGCGCAGCTGTAGTTTTCCTCATAATATCTACTTCAAGTTATGAAATAACTCGCAATAAAAGCGGCCCCAGGTCTCGGTTTCGCCTCAACCTTGTCTTCTTAACAGGGTTTTACCGCATTTTCATCACGACGCTAACTTTAATTAGTTTTGTGAACTTTTTAATGCTAAGAAAAATCACATAAGAAACATGATTCACCGCAGTTTATCGAAAGTTCTGACTTGAATACAACCTCAGGACAGAAATTAAACTCGACACAACTAGCGCAAATAATTATAAACCGTCTGTCAATCACCAAAATTAGGGCCAAAAATATTTTGAGACGATTTTTATTTATTTAAAATAAAAATTTTGACCGAATAACTTCAAAGTTCTTGGGCAAATTGTCGTGAGTAAGGGACATTTGATCCGGTTGTTTAGTGGCAAAATCTGTGTCTTTGTGTTGACAAAAAACGTGCTATCGACAAAATCGAGATTATAGCGCAAAGAGAACTGGTCGTATCAGGGCAGAGCCCTGAATGTTCCGACAACATTTTAAGATCTATGGAGTAGTGTTCAAAAGAACTTCATTGTTTTTGTCGTTTTTATTGTTCCGACTTTCGAAGAAAACGGAATATTTATGCTCGGTGTGTTTTTCCTATTCAGTCAATTCTCGCCGATCGAAATAATCGTTTTCAGCAAAAATTTTTTACACCCCATTGAAGATATCGACTTTCTGAGTTCAAACTTAAAAAAAAATTTTACCTGCAATTATTTTTTGTAAAGGTAAAGTTCTGCGGGTTTGAAAATTGCCAAATTGGCCATGTTCTGGACTAAATTAAGCGTGCTTTGAAAAATTTATTCATATTGCTGAGAGTGTAACGCGAATTATTTATCCGGGGCTAATTATCCCGCACAACAAAATCGTTCCAAACTGAATTGAGGCTAGCAATTGGATCGGTCGTATTAATTTCATAGGTCTCAAAATTTCACATTTTGATATTGTCCAAAACTTATAGGTTTTCAACATTTTATTTTCCCACAAACTATTCGAAGTGAATTCAGGGACAGTCGGATTATTCAGGGCTTCGCACTGGCATACGAGCAGTCTTGTTGTTTTCACAAATCATCCATCCACACGCCATACATTGTGATCATTTTTACACATAGCTCAGCTCTAAATAAACCAAACAAGACTGCTCGTATCAGGGCGAAGCTCTGAATGTTCCAACTGCCGTGTAAGGTTTATGGAGCAGTAGTAACATAAAAAATATATATTTTAAAAAAATCTCAAATTTTTTCTTCTAAAATCTTATTTTTTTTGAAATCATATTCCCACTCGCCATATAAAGTACAAAAGAATAGATTTCGCTCGGTGTAATAAACCAATTATGGCAAAAAAGCTTCTTTCAACCAATTTGGAACGATTTCTAAGACGGATTTTTCTCCGCTTACGCATTATAAACGCGAAAAATATCGCGCGTTAATTGTCCCAAAATGGCCAAAAAGGCAATCTTTAAACACCCATAATTTTACGAAAAATTATCACATGTGAAATATCTTTCCAAATTTAAATTCAGGAAATCAATACTTTTTGAACATTATAAGAAAATTCCGTCAAAAAAGGCTAGTTAAAAAGTCAAAATTTGGCTGAAGAAAAAAAACCCACCCCGATCACAAATTATTCCGTTACCTTCGTACCGAAAGTCGGAAAAATAATTCAATTTGGAGCAACATTTGAGACGGAGTAACACTCCGTTTACGCGTTATTAGCACAAAATTTTCGCACGTTATGTATCCCAATTCGACCAAATTGGAAATCTCTAAGCCCCCATATTTTTGAAAAATGATCACAGTTGAAGTATTTGTTTTAAAAATTTAAGGACAATAATGTTTTCTGGTGGATCTTAAAGACTTTTGTCAAAAAGTTTTTGTTAAAAAGTCACCTTATCTGGAGAAAAAAAAACCACCCCGAGCACAAACATTTTGTCGTTTTCTTCAAAAGATGGAACAGCAAAATCATCTCAAAAGGTGAGGCAATTACTCTACGCGATATTTCCAGTTTTTTCTAGAATTTAGCGTAGACTGCCAAAAAGTCGGAAACCACTTCAATTTGAAATAAAGCAAGCAATTTTTCGTCGCCAACATGTAAAATGACATTGAGATAGGTTTAATTTTCTCAAAAGTGTTGAAAAACCAAGAAGATTATAATTAGAACGTTGTTGTCTATGTTCAAAGTGATTCGCCACTCCTGCAATGATATGGAAAGACATAGTGTTTGTTTTTAAAAATCTCGTTATCACGAAACGACTAAACTTTTGAAACAAAAAATGATCTTCAGCTGAACAAAGACTCTGTCAGCCGAATATAGACCTTGCGGAGCCTCCAGTCTCGTTTATTGTACAGTTTTTTTTGTATAACAGTCATACGTATATATCATACAGTTAAAAGATTTACAAAAACCTACTTCTTTTGGCACGCGTTCCCATTCAAAGTTAGTATAAATAGTAACCCTAAAAGCCCTCACAAACTTTTTAAGGGTGTAAAGTCAAAAATGGCTGCCTTGAAGTATATAATGGGAATGCTTCAGGAAAAATGGACAGATTAGAAGTAGAAGGCCGACTTTTTCCGAGTTTTTTGCGAACTTTCAGTTGACAAAGAAAAAGAAAAAATCAAAACTGATGGGTTCAACAAAGTAGCAAAACAGGTTCGGCTGACAAGCTCTATGAAAATGTTGGATGGGAAAATTTGAATAGCCTTCAATAAGTCATTTTTGAGAAAACTCAAATTTCCAGTAAAAGCGTCTTACTCGTAGTGCTTAGTTTTTCTGAATTGACAAGTTTGAGGACATTAATTGTTAATCGCAGATGTTGACTATAGTACCGGTAAAAAAACAAAAAAAAATCAACCAGACTGTTAGGATATTAGATCAAACCCTGAATCTTCTTACTGTATTTTAAAGCCAACTAAAAAATATTTTTTTTTCTTTCTGGCTGAATTGAAGAAGTAATTGAAAAAAAATTAGTTTCCACTTTTTTCCTTAATTTGTCCCTACATGCTAATTTAAACTATAAAAGGATCTAATAAGCGTCTTATATCTTAATGATAAGACAAGCCGACTTGGTTCAATTCAATTTTTAGCGCATTTGCCGCTTACCCGTGTTATAAGAACGTAATATTTTGCGCGTTAATTACCCAAAATTGGACAAGTTGACTATTTTCAAACACCCTAAGCTTTTCGAAAAATGAGCACAAGTGAATATATTTCTAAAAATTTGCTTCAGACAACAGAAGTTTTCAGATCGTTTAAAAACTTCTGTCAAAAATACTGTAATAAACAGGCAAAAATTGACTAAATAAAAAAACCACCCCAAGCATACATTTCTTCGAGGAGTTAAATTGTTCCACATAGGCGCATAAAAGACTCTAAACTAAACCGGACCAAATAAGAACATTCAAAAAGGACAATAACCATCTAAATTTCCCAAAAACCATCTAATTTCTAAAATATGGGAATTTTTTGTAGCCTGGTCAAGCATCTCGCCACACTTTTGGTCCTACTCTTCGTTTGCGCACACTTTGGTTTTAGTCACGGACAATTTTTCATGGGTCGCGCCAGTCGTTAACAATTTATCTGAATCCGCACTTCCGTCGCGTTATTTGAAAACTCATCTGCTCAGCCTGCAAAGTCTGAAAAAACTTCGTTTCAGTCGCAGTAGTCTAAAAAGTCCAATCTTACTCTCAAACGAGAGGTAGGAAGAGTCTGGGCTTAAAACAAAACTACTTGAGACCTAGTTGTGACCCAGTTTGACCTCCATAGATCGAAAATGCTAATCATGCAATTCTATAAACTAAGACTATAAAAAAACGTATCATACAAGTTTCATAAATTTTGCTGAAATGGAGTCATCAAATTTCGAAGAATTTTTTTTCTTGTTTTGGAATAAAAGTCGGCGTGTCGTCATGAATAAAAAAATAGAAAAACTTTTTCGACAAATAAAGTTTGACTAGCTTTTTTTTTTGATGGCGACAAAAATTTTTTCTCAAAGCTGCTTCGAAATTGCCGCAAAATTTTTTTTATGTTTCATAAAAAAACTAGATTTGTACTCAAACAAATATTTTCCAAAAAAAGTTTGCATGCAAAAAATAGTTTTTCGTGTGCATAACGTATTCGATCTGCAAATTCGATCTGCATTTTCGATCTGCAAATGTATTGAAAATGGAATGGTTCGATTCAGAATGTCAGCAATTGTTGAATAAGAAACAGAATTCACTCAAATCATATCGCAGTCAAAGCACAAGCGATAATTGGTCAAAGTACCAGTTTTTACGTAATCAAATGAGCCAATTGATTAG